TACTGACCAAGTCAAAAGGTAAACCACTGAATAGTTTTCCTTAACCGCAATAACTAAATAACCAATACAAGGTTGTTTGGTATACAATCATTATTACATAAACGTACATAATGAATTTATCGTATGGTGTAAGATATCAATATTTCCATGACATTAACATCAATTTTCATAGATTAAAAAAACGTAATATAGATAAAATTATACGATAAAAATGTAAACAACAACAGTACAATTTAAGTGTCATTGACACTAATGACAACTAAATTTATAGGTTAACTTTAGATACTGTTGCACTCAGTCCTTAAATAATTACTTAAATACGCCATAATGAAAATGTCTCGCACTAGAGTAAGTGAAGCCTTAGGTCACCATTTTATGTCTGATTGCGGTAGTTACAACTCACAATATAGATGCAAAGTAATGCATGATTTTTGTATTAGGCGGGTAATAAATGATTTAATTTTAAAGATCACACGTATGGTCTGAGAAAGAGGAGATCGAGCGCAGTGCATGGGAGTTTGCGGATACTGAGAAGTATCTGAAGGCTGCTGAAAGTCTGTGCGGACCGTACCAGTGGGGGCAGTACGACCTGCTGGTCTTGCCGCCCTCCTTCCCCTACGGAGGCATGGAGAACCCCTGTCTCACCTTTGTCACACCCACATTACTGGTAACTGAGTGCATATTTTGATGTTTAACACCTTTTGTATTTGTTTGTTAGATAGATTGTTAATTATCACTTTAAATGCCACTACAATTTTACTTACTATATGAAAAAGGCTGATTCAGTGGCACTGAACGTATTAAATTCACTTTCGTTTTGGTTGGAAAACAGGTTTATACCCAAAATAAAAATAAAATTCATCAAAAATTTATAGTAAATTTTAATAAATCTTGTATAGCCATCGTTTATCAAATGTGGGAGACTGGAATATTTGTAAATAAGAAGTATGTATTTTTTTAAAATTATGGATACGATTTTAGGCTGGGGATAGAAGTCAAGCTGACGTAATAGTCCACGAGATCATGCACAGTTGGACAGGCAACCTGATCACCAATAAGAACTTTGAGCACTTTTGGCTGAACGAGGGGTTCACCGTGTTCCTGGAGAGGAAGGTGGGCGCTTCGCTGATCGCGGACCCCGCAGAGGCCAAGCGCAGTCGCGACTTCCATAGCTTACTCGGACTACAAGAACTCACCGAAACTGTAAGCTAATTGTACTTTGATTTAAAATATTTATTATAAATATATATCATCTTAGTAAATCTACAATAAAGAAAGTCTAACTTAAGTTACTAATCCTCATTGTATACCTACCAAACACCAAAAGCAACACTTTGGTAACTTATTTAATACTAGCTTTTGCCCGCGACTCTGTTTTCCTAATAAGTTTTTTTAAGTGCACAAGGACTTATAAAATACTTAATAGTCTATGTGTTCGTGCAGACTATGTTCTACATCTATACCAAATTTTACCGAAATACTTTAAGTGGCTCTAGAAATACGTAGTAATAAACATCCATCCATCCAAACATTCGCATTTATAATATTAGTAAGATGTATTTTCTTTGTAGATAAATGAAGAATTTGGACCAACTAACCCACTAACAAGGTTGGTGCCGGACCTAAATGGAGTCCACCCGGACGACGCGTTCTCACGAGTCCCCTATGAAAAGGGATCGCTCTTTCTTCGCTATTTAGAAGATCTTGTAGGAGGACCTGGTAAGAACTTAATATTTCTATTTGTATAATCAAAAGATAAGTATTTTGACCATGTAAACTCACAATAATTTTATATGAACGAGTTTTGTTTGTTATATTGAAGATATGGTCCAGAGAACATTTGCCCTACATATGATATATCTATGTATTTGAACATAAGAATATTATTAAGCACAGTTACAAAGAGATAAGGAGTCATCTAAGTGTAATTATTGTTATCTTTTTCAGAAGTCTTTGACAAATTCATCAGATCGTATTTGAACTATTACCAGAGACGTTCACTGGACACTGAAGAGTTCAAGGAATATTTACTGGATTACTTCAGTGGTAACAATAACTTGAGCAGTGTTGACTGGGATGCATGGTTCTTCCATAATGGCATGCCTCCTGTTATACCCAAGTTAGTATTCTTCTAGTAAATCTAATCTATTTTAGATAACTTAAAAAAATTGCCATATTCGTTTTTAGTTCATTTTAACTGATCTAACGCGATAACAATAGTAGCCGATAATTATTATCGGTTAGAGGGTGATTGAATAGTCTTTGTAATAAATAAGATATAATCGGATTCTCAGGGATTGAATAGTTACCTTGGTTTCCAAGACCAATATCTCTATATACAACATATTGTCATCCGTGTCATTCACTTTTGATAGTACAGAGATAACAATATGTTTAAATGGCGATTTTGTCCTCAGAAACCCACGATTTATTCGGCAGTACTTTATCAAATTTAATACCTTTTTTAGCTATGACACGTCAATGACGAAAGCGGTAACAGCATTAGCGACGAAGATCACTGAAGGAGGTAACATTTCCCCTGATGATATAAAGGGATTCACGCCGCACCAGATCATCAATTTATTACAAGAGCTTGTTGAAAGAAATGCAATGACCGTTGAAAAGCTACACGCTCTCAACGACGCTTACAAAATCAGCGACAGCAAGAGTTCCGAGATTCAGTACAGATGGATGAGATTGTGTGTCAGAAGCAAAGACCTAAATAAACTGGACGATGTGCTCAATTTCCTGAACCATCAGGGACGTATGAAATTCGTAAGACCAATATACAGAGACCTCTACGCTTGGGAGGAAGTCAGGCAAAGGGCCATAGAGAATTTCCTCCAACAGGAGCCTTATATGATGCATGTCTCTGCCTATACCCTTAGGAAGGACTTGCATCTCAGTGAATAATGTTAGAATAAGATATGTTATACTTTACACGTATTTCCGTGTATGTCAAAATTGTGTCTTATTGAAAAAAACATACTTTGGTATGGTATCCCATTGATATTGTTTATGTAATATATTTATCAATTGTAAGGTGTCAGTAAATTATTTATTCACTGTTTTATTATATATGCATTTGACATTATCACAAACTATTTCGTTGTTGATCTCCCCCGTGTTGAAATCAATTTGTCTGTGCTTTTGTTCATCGATAACTTACTATAGTGGTCCGATTTTTTCAGCAATAAATTCAACTTATAAGAAATTGCTATTCTGTACGCTACAGGCGCATCGTATTATTTAGGTTTGGTATAAAAATCCTGATGACATTTATCTTAGTGAAATATGGTACACTAATAATTATTTTGGCAAGCATATGCTATTATTTCAGTAATAACAAAGTCGCGCGTTTATAAATTTGATCCCCATCCATTGAATCGATGCCTGAACTCTATTATGTTTCGTCATATTTGTGTTGTGTGCCACAAGAATTTATTCAAAAAGCTTTCTCTACTCAGATTTAATTTTAAGTGAAAAAGAATCATTATTTTATTGCCATTATTGGTAATTGAAACTTAATTATTTTGGGACTTGTTGAATTAAAAGACTGTATGTAGCAATCAAGCATTTATTTATTAAAAGAATATTCAACAACACTATTACAATAACAAAATGCAAAAGGTTAAGAAGATAATACTGATATGTTCCAACTCTATCACAGATACCTGATTAGTAGAAATAAATAAGTCAAATAAAACTTTTACTAAATTTACTAGAAATAAGTATTACCTGGCTCACCAAGATATCAATGTTTAAAAAAAATAATTGTCATACAAACCACTTACACTAAAAGCCGGCACAGCAACTATATATACTTTGAAGAACTGCATTGAAACTTGGTCTAATAAAAAATAAAACAGCATTTATACAAATTGGAAGAAATAATAAGATAGGGATATGAAGCCATTCTCGTATGAAAATATCTGTTGCAAAAACAGATTTCTTTTTATTAGACTGTCTTATTCTAAATCACATAATGCAATGTCTTAGCATATCTTGCATGGCTGGAAACTATCTTTCATAAAACTCCTTGTTAGATGGAGACAAAGCCCAGGCAAGTCCAAACTCCTTCAGTACTAAATTTTCATTGGAAGCTATAAGAGGGTAAGAATTTTTTTTTAATTTGTAAATAACAGGCAAATTCTATTTTAGTCACCAAAATTATTTTGCAAGAGTGTTATTTAAGACTTTATTTTGCTAATTTGGAAACAACATTGTGTCTCCACAAATCATTAAGCGAATTTGCAAATTTTAAAATAAAGAGGCACTAGCCACTCTCAGTGCTCTTATATTTGGTATCATAATTATTATTTACCTTTATATAGACTGTAATGTATTTCTTGTTTTAGCAGAAAACAGCACCTAAACAACTTAGAGAAAATACTGCCTATCCCCTTCCCATCTCATTTCCTGAAAAATTGGACTATCCGGTGGGTTGAAATTTCTTACTCTGGTCAAAATAAAGGCTGGAAAAACATCTGCTACTAAAGGAATGTAGAATGCTATGAAAGCATAGCATCAAATTTACTTTTGCTATCTTCTGTAAAAAGGATTTTTCACTACTGAGGAAGTCTTTTAAAGACTTTTCAATTAAATCTTAAAAACAGAATGTAGAATGCCCTAATTAATATTATTGAAGAATATTAATTTTGGTAATATCTTTTGACTGAAAACATTTTAGTTTTGCTACTTACAGATTTGGCACCCCATTTTTTCCACAATAATCACAGATTGTAAATAAAACAAACTACTAAATCTAAACTGACCACCAACACACCACTTAAGCTATCACAGAACCCCACAAAACTGTGCTTTATAAAGAATTCACTTTTATGCTCCACATAATTTTCCTAGTCTCAAAATTAAATTTTTATGTCCATATTTTGAATATAAAAATCTAGCGTCTTCATGTATCACAAACAATTCACAAATTCATAGAAACTGCACTTTTAAGCAATACACTTACTCACAAGGTGTAAAAAAACTACAACTTCAGATTTAATATTCTATTTGCATATTCACACACAACACAGTCACCTAACGTACACTGGATAAAAGTATACACTATAACTTGCCTTTGCCAATATTAATACACAATTGCAGTATTTTGTCCAAAGTTAATCCTAGCAAAACTAATATAAATGTAACCTAGATATGTGCAAAAATTATTGCTTCTCACAAACTTAGTAATTACATTCACAGCACTACACAATAACAATACTTTAACCTTCACTAAACTAAGTTAGAAACACCCCACAGTGCACTACACGCCACATAAATTACAGTATAAAATAACTCTATAATAAAAAAATAATCGTCGTAACCTAAAAATAATACTTTTATGCTAAATAATTTATGTAATAAAAAAATATTAGTTAGGCAGAGCCCCCACGGACAACCACAATAACAAGATGATCTTCTTTCAGACTTTCCTCTGTCAAGTTGTGGCAAGTCCTTTTTAGGAGCTCTGTTGAAAATTCACAAGGAGGAAAGGAATAAAGTACACCCGTGGCTTCTGTTTCTTTGTTCAACAGTGATATTACTCCTGCAGCCTCTTTCTGCTTGAGATATGAAACCAAATTTCGCATAGGCCTTGTCTGAATACTTGTGTCTTCATTTGTTATAGATGCAGTTGAACCTGCCACCCCTAAGAATATAGCATGTGAGCTAGATGTAGCAATACGTTTCTGTACATCATCCAATTTTGGCTGATCCAATCTCAATCTTTGAGTAATTCTTAACTGATTTTTTCCATCTTCATCTTTCATCAGACTATCAATTATTTCAGAGTCACCATCAGTCAAGTGGAACTTGGTTGGGAATAATGAATTTTTGAGAATGAGAGCACCATTCCATATTGTTGCTGCTTTACGGACTACTTCAGGTAGAGTTCTAGCCGATGATAGCATTCCACTACTGCGCCGAGGAGATCCATCAGAGTCACTTTCAGGAGAGCGGCGACGTGGCGATCGGGATCGTGATCTATCGACTCCCGGCTCACGTGATCCAGATCGCCTGACTCGACTCTCGTAATCTCCATCTGCTGGGGCCCTCCTCCATTCCTCATCTCTATAGTCCCCTGCACCATGATATGCACCCCTATACATTCCCCGACCACGACCACGATGACCACCGCGACCTCGATAACCCGATCCATATGTATATCCTTCATCCCATGATCCTCCTTCATATCCCTCATATCCTTCAACAGGTCTGCCATCTTCACCTACAGGTGGAGCATAAGGCTTAGGTCTATAAGGACCCCCTGTACCTACATCAGCAAAGTCTATACGAAGACGTCTGTCAGGTCCACCCAAAGGAAACCCTCTCATTTCTTTTACTGCAGCTTGAGCTGCATCTATGGAATCATATAGAATATATGCATGAGCCTCTCCTTTAGCATATTCAATCTTTTTAATGGCACCAAATCTATCAAATTCTCTTTCTAATTGGGCTACTGATGTCCATGGACCCAGACCACCAACCCAGACACGAGTTGTAGGTGTTGCTTTGCCATACCCTATCTTACATTGGAATTTTCCAATGTACTGTCCAGAAAGTTCAACTTTGGCTCTATGGGCCATGTCTAAAGTTTGATACCTAACAAATGCAAAAGCATTACCAGTACCAGGAGGTGGACGTTTTATGTCAATATCTTCTACAATACCATAACGGCCAAATATACGTCGGAGTTCCTCATCAGATATGTTAATTTCTAAATTACCTGCAAAAAGTGTTCTGGTAGCTAAAGGATCATCTTCAGGCTGAACATGGTGCAAGTAGTTAGGAAATTTGTCTTTTTTGTTTTCCATTTTCTCAAAGGGTGGATGGTGTGGCCGGGGCATGTAGGGCCTTGGCATATAATGTGGATGGGGTGGGTGGTGCATTGGGGGTCTATGATGCATTGGAGGTCCATGTGGGCCCGCCATTGGATATTCGTGCATTGGAGGCCGAAAATCTCTGTGGTGCGGGGGCACAGTAGGTGGTATGCCATATGCCCTATCATCTGGTGGTGGCCTCCTTCGGTCAGGGACTGGTGACCAAGCATAAGAGTATGGACGGTCATAATCTGGTGGGGTAATGCTTCTTGGCCTACTTCTGTATTCAGCCCTAAGAGGTTCGTAAACGGGGTCTACAATAGCTACTTTATCGTATAAAATAATTCTCGGCTTGGCATGCTTCGCATCCCTAGCATCTTCTGCACTCCTGAAGCATACATACGCGACCCGCTCATCCAGTTCGTGAGAAATTTTGATGGTGAACTCTCCATATTTTTTATACTCCCTGTAAAGAGTATCTTTAACAATTTCATCGGAAGCTTTAGGGTGCAGTGCGCTAACACAAAGAACTTTGTAGTAAGGACGTACGGAATCTTCACGAATCTCCCTAGACCGTACGTAATCGTCGCGATGGGGTGAAATATACCGACCTCTGGGACTCGGCGACCGCACGCGACGTCGAATGCGCTCTGGTGTAACGCGTTCATCTGAACTATCATCATAACGACCTATGCTACTACGCGTCCTCTTCGATCGCGGCATGCTATCCCTTGATGAGCTTCGCTTCATGTTACGAATTTTCACCGTTATACGATCTCTATCTCTATCGCTACGCGGTAATCCAATCATGAAAGCTCAGTTTGGTGAACCACTATCTGAAATGCACAACATTACACGTCACTTCAAAATGTCGTCTGTTCCAGAAGAAATTGTATATTGTATAACACTGCACCTTACAAAGTTATCAAGTCTTACCACAAACTATCGCGACCAATGTTCGCTTTAATCACAACACCTCAAATCAACGAAACAAACGATAGCTTCTTGGGAACACTATGAATTAACATAAAACGCTTCACTGCAACATGAGTCACAAAATACAAGACAAGCATTAGTTACAAAATGGACGCCATCCGCATCCGCTCCGCAACCGCACCGCGTTCCGGTCAGTAGTGTTGTCCCCCATAAAACTTAAGTTTTGCCAAGAAGTTTAAATTTTTTTACAAAAAAGACTTTAAAAACTCTCAAAGTATAAACAAGCTTTTAGCACTCCAGATGCCAAAAGCAATAAAATCTTAGGTAGTTTTTTTCTGTTTCGTCACGAAATCTCACTATAATTTTCTTGACTCTCAATTTTTTTAAATAAAATCGATAACCAGTGCATACTGGCATAGCCGATTTGACTCCAAATAGGCTACTCGGGATAAGTAAGAAAAATTTGCTAAACGCATATTCAATTAAAATGACATATTCATGATTAGTTTACTTAACATTTTAGCCTTTTAGCGTTTGGACTACATTTAGGCTATACAACGCTGTTAAAATGGCGATATGTTTGAAGTCGTTGCAGCACTAGCGGTGATTTGAATTGTTCTTCATTCGAGTTAAGATAAAAATCGATTTAAATGTTTTCAGTTTTCAAAACATTGTTTTTCCTTATTTTTATAGGCCATTTGACAAGTCCAAAAGTACAAGTGTTTTGATCAGTTTTGGTTGTTACTTATGCTTATATTTAATAACAAATTATAAATTTACTCCATATCAGACATATTTTTGAATTCCCGAAACTCTTAGTAAGCTTTTATAAATAATGACGACAGTTATTACATTTTAAATAAGTTTTATATTTATTATCACCAAAAAATGTTTTTTTTTGCTATAAAGTAAAATATAGACGAAATTATACTTGCAAATAACTTCTTTCAGATTCGGAAATACCTTTTCTATACTATGTGGATACTACTGAATTAATATTGCTTTACATACAATGGATATTATAATTAAAGTAAACAATCAATCAGTGGGAAGAGACAAAATAGCCAGGTAAGTAATACTGATGTTCTGATTTATTACTGTGGTGCACCTATTTATCTATAAAAGGAATTTACAACCGACCCTTTTAGTTTTTTTTACAGTGATTTATAGCATGCAATGGGCTCAATAGTGAAAAATATTGTTTTATATTTATTACAGGTTGTTGCAATATACAAGTCGGCTCGTTTGGCATCAGCTTGAATCCAGAAATGCTAATAAGTATTCTGTTGACAGAGTAAAAAGTTTAGAAAATACTCTAAGTTCATTTAGAAAAGGTAAAATATTTCAAAGTATGCTTCTTTATATGTTTAAAAATATAGTAAAGTTTATTAATAGTATATTTTGATAATTTTTTACAGTTCTTCGACTAGGACGGTGTGTAGATATTTTCTATAATGCACTCAGCACCATAAATATTGAAGATCCAATCTTACGATTTACTCTAACAGCAAGTAAATTAGCACATGCCTTATACCTGTATGCGGACCACATAGTATGGTTATCGAAAAATGGTTTTCTAAAGTCTGATTCAAACGGCTGGAGTCAGACAGCAAACAGATTCTGGCTGTTATCAATTATTGCAAACTTAGCAAGAGATTTTTATGAAATACTACATATTTTAGATTTTAAAAAATCTATGTTTCTAAAACCTTCAGACTTGATTAACGTTCCTGTGAGAAATTTCGATTTTAATTCTAGTTTGAAACACCTCTATGCAATTCTACATTGTCATAAAGATATATTTATTGATACTGCCAAAAATTCTTGTGATTTATTCATTCCATTGACTGCATTAGGATATACAAAATTGAGTCCGAGCACAGTTGGGGTGTTAGGAGCTATGTCATCTCTTGCTGCATTGGTTACTTTAGTAAAACCTATCACAAAATTAGTGCCAGCTTGAATAAATCATATACATAACAAGGGTAAACTGATATAGTAATTTTATTGTTGGTATACACCTTTGTCATAAACATTATGTATGTGATGATTTCTTTAATTTCGACTTTTTACATACAGTTTTTTTTGTTAATTATTAAAAAAAAAACAAAGATGTATTATTTCTAGTAGTTATATTGGTACTGGGATATTTTTAATTTAGTAGCAATTATTGTGTTATTGTTTTCCTTACTATACTATTTGTGAAGAACCTACCATTTTGTGTAATAAAATTTAATTGATATAATTTTGAACGATTAAGGAATATAGTCACTTATTGGGCCAATTATTATTTAAAATATGTTTTTTGATATTTTAAGTGTTATTTTATAACGAATATCAAGAAAAGTTGTGTTATTTTGAAAACTTTTTAAATGTCATATGACTACAATGGGGATTGTTATAAGAATAAAAAAATACTTGATAATATTTGTTTGACCTATGACCTTCTTATCTTAGAGTACTTATAAATGGTAAATATAAAATAATTGAACAAGTTTGAAAATATAGTTTATCCTGTGGCCTTATTTAATTAATAGTGAAATTTGTGTTTCGCTTATTATACTGTTCGCGTATAATACTATATCGCTTATCCAGGTTTACAGTTAGTACGCTAGTGTGCCAGTTTCTTCCAATTTCGGTAGTGAGAGTTAATAGTAGGATATTATTCTACTCCGGTACTCTACCTTTCCAAAAAAATTACAGATGGTTGGTAAAAATTTATGTTCATTTAAGTCGTTTCATTGGTAACTAGTTAAGTATTAGCTTGCAACACTCTCTGTTATGTCACCCTAGTGTTGAAGTTTCTAACCTAAAATTCAAAATCATATACCAATAATTCTAAGTATTACTTTATTTATAAATTATAATGGCTCGTAATATAGCCGATAATGTACGAAAACTGTTATTGCTTGGACAGTGCGTACCCACAGTCAAGCAGAATGCCGCTAAAATTAGAGTAAAGCGGTTAGAATTAGATGAGAATTTATTGATGGTTTGTATTAAATTTAAGACCTTACTATTTCTTTGTAGAGCATTTACTATTTTTAATGATACTCTCTTTACCAAAGCAATAATTTCAATCAAATAATAATTAATTTCTTCTCATATTATGAGACCATAACCATGTAAATAAACACTGATTGATTGATGAAGTAACTCTGATAGTAGTGTTCAATGCCTTATTCTATTTATTTATTGTTATACTTTTTGATGTTTTCAGTATTTCAGAAAAGATGAATTCTACTACTGTTCAGATCCTGATAAAGTGTGCAAAACAGGAGATATTGTCCTCATAGAAGCTTTACCTCAAAAACTAACTAAACTCATAACCCACCAAGTAAAAGAGGTTGTATATCCATTTGGCGATATTACTGATCCCGTTACTGGCAAGAAAGTAGCTAAAGAAAAATATAGAGAAGACATTGAGAAACAATCTGAACTGTATGGGAAGTTGGAATCTGCATTTAATTACAAGAAAGCCCCACCTCGAGGTTGGCAAGATGGAAAGAAGGACTTCACTTCCAAACCTACATACACCAAATTTCATGTGTTTGATGAAAATGATCCTTACGCTATATAAATTAATTGTAATTTGTAGTATGTAAATAATTATAAGTAGTCAAGTATATTTGTTTTAATTTTTTATTAGTTGGTTTAGCATACAAAATAGAAATGGAATAGAAGCATATTAGTGTAACATATTAATTTTAGTAAAATGTTATTTGTAGTTTGTACCAACTGATTTTATTGAAGCTAATTGTGAGTATATTTTTTTGGCCTGGTATCAAGTTGAATAATTCTTACAAGACTCAAACAAATTATGTTCTAGGTGTAATCAGGTTGTAGAACGGAAGCAACATTATTTCAACAAATTGACAATGACTACATATTTCTACTTAACTAATATTGCTTCAAGAGTTTACTACAAGGAAACAGGTTTGAGACAGATAGACTAGACTCTTATGTTATAAACACTGATTTCTCTTTGAGTCTGAGCTAGAAGAGTGAATAATAAATAAAACACTTATGAACCAAAGAGAAATGTATTGCGACATATTACTATATAACTTATGTTAATAAGATTGGCATTATTCTGCTAAGAATTCCCGCTCAAGCGCTGCACCCATAAGATTCCAAGAACTGTCGTCGTCATCTGGCGGCACATCATCTGATGACCTTCGCCGTCGCTTACGTGGCCTTGGCGTTTCTACAAAGAGTAAAAAGCAAATTAGTATGGATTTATTTGTTTTGGTTATAATATTTATTGAATTCAAATTTGCCATGAATTTTACTAATATTATATATAAATGTGAATGTTTAGACATGTTTAGAAGTCACACTTGGCCAGCGTGGTTGACTATGGCCTAATCACCCTTAACTTAGGGTAGGCTCCGAGCCTCTCGGTGGGGACGTATAGTGAGCTGATGATGATGATGAATGTTTAGATGGATGATTGTTTGAAGGTATCTCCAGAACAGCTAAACAGATATTGATGAAATTTGACATATATATAGAACAGCCTGGAAGTTACACATGTTTTTTTTAATATATATAGAAATAAATGTATAGAAATAAAAGTGATATTACCTTCATCTGAGTCACTCGAAGCATTAGGATCTTGTGATTTCCCTTGAGAGCTATCAGATTCTAATGACTGTAATTTGTCCTCGGGTGGATTTTCTTCATCATCAAGATCATCTTGCACTTTCTTAGCTTTTTCTTCATCTTCCGATGATGCACTTTCATCTGATTCATTGAAAATATCTTCCACCTGGTAAAAAAAATATTAAAAATTATTTTACATTATATTTATGCAATGCTAAATCATTATTATAAATTAATTTTTCAGTAATAAAATTATAAGTATCCACATACCAATCTGATATTATTGAATATTCATTCAAATTGATTTTATATCAAAAAACCCAAAGAAATTAAAAACTAACAATTGATACCCGGTTAACATAAACATCGATCATCTTAATGCAAATATTTGGAAGGCGGCAGTTAGTATAAAATGAGGTATGTAAGCATATTTACCTCTCTATCCATATCAGCGATGTCATCACTTGAGAATGAGAGCAGTGGATTTATGGTGTCCATGAACCGTCCTGAGGGTGTGCGCTTGCGCAGCGCGGGCAGCGGCGGCGGTGCGGGCGGCGGGCTGCTGCAATGCGCCGGTGGCCGCCGCGAGCTGCTCTGTACACAATATACAATTATTATATATAATTACTGGAGAGTCGTCGTAAGGGAGGTACTTAGTGTAAATTTTGGTGGGAATCTATGCTATGGTACTGATTAAGTATGGTAAGTCTAATATCTCTAAATGTAATATGAAGTGTTTCTTATTTTTTCTATATAAACAAAGGTTTGAGTTCCTTTAAATTACACATTGAATCAACCTATCTACACTAGATTAGCATGGTTAAGAGTACATCCCCAACTTTGGTTAGGCTTGAGTTCCTCGGGGGACTTGTTTGTTGATATAAATATTTAGGTAACAACAGTTTGCTATTACATTTACCTGTCCACCTCGTTGTAATGAGTATAGTCTCTCGTCTACCCTTTCCCATCTCTCTGCACATGTCCACAGCCATTCCGGTGTCACCACATAAAACTTCCTTCGTTTGTCCTCCGCCATACGCCGCGCTATATTTACTTTGGCTGTACCTATAAGAACAAAAAATTTTTTCAATAGCATTATCAATGAATCTTTAGTACTATTTTGATAAAAAACCAAACTCAAATAATACAACCATGAATTAGTTCTATAAGTATAAAAATAAACAGATAGTAAAAAAAAATGTCTGGCTAAAGTTTTTTGATCAGAAAAAAAATTAAATTATTTGTATACCTGATCGCACTGCCACTAGATGTGTTGATTTCTCCGTCAGATCCTGTGTGACCTCCGCACCCAGGCTCCTGGCTACTAAGTACGCGCGGGATGTCTCCAGCCTCTGATGAGTGGGCACCAGCCCACTGAATACCAGGCTGACACCTTCTAACACTTTACTCTTCACCTCAGGTATTATAGTCTTTAAGTCCGGTATCTGCTTACGTCCCATATTCTCGTATAGATCGTAGAAATGCCTGAAAAGAAAATCTTACTTTTAGCAAGAATCTTGTTTAGGTACAAAGTGTGTATAATACACTCAAGCTCATAAATAACATTGGATTTACGCAATAACACTTCAATTTATATCATAATTTGGACAAAACTGAGGAAATTAAATTATACAGTAAATATATTAACATAATTTAGGTGTTAAATTAAAACTAGATATAGGCCAAATTTATACCGAGATTTTAGTTTCAGAAACCTTCAATTTATATATATTATATTATTTATATTCAATTTATATATAGTTATAGAATTTTTCATATGAAGGCATGGCTCAACAGAATAAGGCAAAGTACTTACTGATGTATCCTGTTAAGTATGTCTTCTAAATATATAAGATAATCATCTGGATCATCTATTTCAATCTCTCCACCTTTTGGTTCGGGCCACTGTGGTTCAGCTTCGGCAGACCCTTTATTTACTTCATTTTCATTCTCCTTTACTTTTGTATTAATTTCTCCATTCTCTGTCACTTCATTTGATATCTTGCCATTTTGTATGTCATTTTTTTTGTCTGCATCATTTGTTATATCTTTAGTTTCTTCTTTCTTTTCAGGTTCATCATCTAATGTTGGCATTTCTTGATTAGGTTTTTGACCACCATTTTTAATATTGTTTGTTTCTTGTTTTGACTTTTCATTATCTGTAATGTACAATTTTTATTATAACATTAACATAAAATACTATTATTTGTATTCAATTAAAACAGTATGAATGAAATTGTATTCCTTGTATCTGTCTTTCTTTCAAGGCTTGAGTAAAAGAAAGTCTTCAAAAGGAAATCAATGCTCTTGGATTGTTCATGAAGTTACGAAAATACTAATTTGTAACTGGTATCTCAATCCATATTCGTTATTAGTCCATAAAAAACTAAACCATCGGTAACTTTTGTTTGAAAATAAAATTGCTTAGGACAAAATAAAAATAGCTACACTCATACTGATTTTATGTCATTTAGTACATTAGTATATTGTCTAATCATGTATATTTTTCAACAGGAAATTAAATAAAACAACATATAAAAACAAATTAATTTAACTTTGAAATGCCTAAAACATTTTTCATAACTTGTGCATAACAACTGAATATTGCTCTTTCATATTATTTGTAAAACAACTTGTATGTAACTTACCTAAAGGTGGAGGTGCATTTATATCTCCTGTAGACTGAAAGAATGAATAAGGTCTAACTTGTATCAAGTTAGCTGCATTACGCCATACATCCTCTCTGTCATCTATAATGCACACCATGTTATCTCCACATGGAAATAAAGCCCTAAAAATTGTTAAAATATCATTAAAACTACATTTTGCTAACTTTATCCATGTAGAGTTAAAAAACTTAGTAAGCCTATGCTTTTCTCCTATGTCCTACATCTCTGACAAATTTCATCGAATTCTGATCAATCATTTTGAAGATACTTAATAACAAATATCCATAACCATCCAAACTTACACACTTATTAAATTAGTAAGTAGTCAGACAGATAAATTGTATGTGTTTGAAACAATCAAACTCCTCTATTTTATTATTTAAAAATAGTAAATTTCATGAAAAATGTCTATAACTTACTTTAAATTAGCAGATTTTGTTCTAGCATCGAAAAATTCATCCCTTGATAGTATTCTGTGTGAAAAATATTTTTTCTCTGGATCCAATAATTCGGTAACAGCATGTGCATATTGTCTGGCACCAAATGTACATACATGCAGTTCATACTTTTTGGAAGCGGATTCTAGAAAACTTTTAGTCCTAGGCCTTAATCTTGTGTGACACCATCTTCCAGTATTTCCGGGTCCACGGAGGAAAAAGTGCAGAACATCCTAAAAACAAAATAAATTAAACATTTTGTGTGCATAGTAATTTTTTTTTATTGTTTAGCATCCTCGGACACTATTAGTTTGCTGCCAAAATGTTAAATATTTATAAATATATATTGTAGAATAAGCTAAATTATTTTTTACATACAGTTAAAAAATAATCCTCTAGTGTAACATAAGATATAGATTAAAAATGGAAATTAAGAAAATCATTAAGTTTTGTTACCTTTAAATTTGGTGGTATATCATCATTTGTTGTATGCACTAATGTTTGATCTAAATCAACAAGTAGAACTAGTTTTTTATTCTTTAAATGACGTTCAGCATCTTCACGTCCTAACTTAAGAGCCAATTCCTCAGAAACCTGAAAGATAACATTTATATCAATTTAAATATAATTAAAGCTTAGTTGTATGTATATTTTACTGTTTTTAAATAGTAGTATTCAAAAGATCATCAATCATAGACAAAATTTAATCACAGTAGTTAATTATATGTGGCCAGAGAATTAAATTCTTTGACTGTACCTTTAATTCAGGTACGGAATGCACCATTGGAACACTGGCAACTTCGCCTTTAACACGTTCATCTTTACGGAGGTCGGAGCCGCATTCCGCGCACATTTCTTTCATCACAGTTGAATGTTTGCATTCTTTTAATTCTGCCACACAACCCCTGAAAAATCAATAATTATTTCACTGAATAAAAATATAAACTACCACTTTTATACAAAACAAATTTTACATGTCTACAAAAAAGTAGAAAGTGATAATCAATTCTGTTTACTTTACAACACATTATTTACAGAACAGATATTGTTGTTATATATTTTAGTTTAGTAGTAGTTAGTTATTTATTATATGTCTTGCGAGCTTTCAATATTTTAAATTCTTAAGATGTAGAATTAAAAACGTAATGAGTAATACCGAATATTAAATTATTCAAACTTTCGTGAGACATTATACTAAACTGATATATAAACACGGCTGTGTTGTGAGTGTTTAGCCGTGTTTATATATCAGTTTAATACTGAATATCTTAGCAATAAGTTTAAAAAGTATATTTCACAAATTTGTATTTTGCCGCGCTAAAGTAATTGTAGTTTAATATGTTAGATTTCTTGTCAAACATGCCGATAAATAATGTAAATTTTATAAACCTGCCAGAAAGTAATATCGCGATGAAAGAAATAGCAAAACGTACAGAAAAAAAGCAATTAACAATAAAACGTGTATTAAGTAATGTGACGTCACTTACCCAGGTTCGGCGATGTCGCCTTCTTTCACCTTGATTGACAAGATAGTACCACCACAGGCAGCTTTAAATTTCTGCGGTACACTACTTTTGCCCGAAGAGTCGCTATATAAAAAGAGTATTTGGCCATGCGATACAACAGTACCTTGTTTAACTTTCCACTTTATCACTTTAAGGGGCTTTTCTGTTGGAACAAAAATAGGCATAGTTTTTTCGGCCATCTTGAACGGAAATAGTGCTTCAAAACTTGGATGGAGGATTTTCATTGGTTCTTATGACACAATTTTGGCGGTTTGTTAATATCAACCAATGAGATTCATTTCTTGAAAAATCAATTGAAGTCATTATAACTCCATACGTCAAAAAAACATCTATCACATGAAAGTAATGTTGCTATAACTTAATTACAACATATTTAATTATTATTTTATGGAAGATATTTATTTGAAATACCCAAGTTTAAACTTAGAGGAATTACTTGTTTTCTCTAAGGTATAGTATTAAAATTAATATCGTGCCCTAGTTTAATCTCAACACATTGATACATTTCAGTTTTTAATCAACACAAGGTATTTACTATTATTTTATTAGGTAATTAACCCTATAAGCCGTCGACTTTCAGCCGTCCAGCTCAAGACCAGCTGGAAAATTAAAATATTCCAGATTATAAAATATTTTTATTTAATGTGATGTCTGTCACATCTAATCATCACATCACAGATCACACACATCAGACATCAAACTTTTGACAGCAACAATATTATTAAGTGTAACGACATTGTGTACATATTTAGTAATATTTTGTTTTGTTAAAAATTTGAGTTCATATCTTTTGCAAAATGGTCGATGAAAATATAACAGTGAGTGATAATTCAGACCTTGACGAAGGCGGTACTGCCGAACTTCGTGGTTACTTAAGTAAATGGACGAATTATATACATGGTTGGCAAGATCGGTTCATTGTTTTAAAGGATTCCACTTTATCATACTATAAAAGCGAATTGGAGAGTAATCTTGGGTGTCGAGGTGCATTATGCTTGAAAAAAGCCAAAGTAAAGGTAATGGAAAAGATTGTTATTGGACAGTACAAAAATTGATTTGTCCTTGTTCGTCTTCCTCAACGAAACAAATAATATCAAATCAGGTGCAATAGAACAATGTATTCGTTTTATTGCCCACAGCGACCCTCGTTTTTTATGTATTCTGACACGTGATTTAGTTTTCTTTATCTATTATGACGGTATTGGGTTTTATTTATCAGCATCATATTATTTCCGACATTGTTGATAATGCTATAAATCTTATGTATTTAAAAATACATAGAGATAATTTTCTACCAAAATGTTATATACATTTAATGTCAACAATATTATCAAAGCTATTTAAAATTTGATATTTGGGTCTAATTTATTCCTCCCAAATAGGGTTGGCAACAGGCAGGTTGTTGTAAATAGCTATTATAAATTAAGCTAATACATTAAGGTTTATAAAACTGTGTGTAAACTGAATGTAAGTGGGACATAGCCAGGGAGATGTGGAACATTATGAAAGCTAATTGATGTAAATTGATAATTTTGTTATGGTAAACATGTGTACTGCAAATGAAATTTGTTATAATTTTTTTTCTAGCCACACGAATTTGATGATTGCCGATTTGATGTATCAGTAAATGATTGTGTATGGTATTTAAGAGCATCAAACCCTGAAGAAAAACAGCAATGGATTGACATATTGGAATCATTCAAAGTAAGAATCAATCAAAATATTGTATAGTACAGAAAGAAATATATTTATAATTGCAACATGATGCATGCACATTAGTAAACTGTTTTAGCAAACTCCATAAATTATCCTAATTGCAATATAAAGGATAATTATGAATTTTATACTAATTTATATAAAAAAGGGTCTTGATAGACAGATGGATGGACAGTAAAGTGATCCTATAAGGTTTCCGGTTTTTCTTATGAGGTATGGAACTGTAAAAATGAGTATATTTTCCTGGAGTAGTCATAAATATTTTACTAACTAGAGTAGTACAGTGATCCAAAGTTGATAGCAATAAAACTTGTCGTACCATAGTCTCCACCGAGTCTTAGGGCTTATTCATATGTGTAAAGAAATTTAGAATATATGGTGTTGTATGAGTGTGCTCACATCTTACTAGCAACAAGCTCATGATTTACTTATAATGTCAAGCAAGTTAAACCCCTTAAGCATTAATCATGATTCCTACTCATATATGTCTATAAGGGGTTAACTGGTTTGAACCAAGTGATTGTGCTTGCGCTCGCACCCGCGATTTAGATGTGGCCAAGCCCTTAGACATTTGTTTTCTATTTCTCTATCTATCTAGTGAAATCTGACAAACAAATACATTAATTCCTGGATACAGTACCAAGGCAGATTACCTCTTAAATCTTTTCAAATCTTTACAAATCTACCTATATTTAATGACATTGGTTTACAGACACGGTTATCAGTTTTTCAGCTCTATAATTTGTGTTAATATTATAAAGACCACTAAATTTATTTTCTTTAAAGTGAATCATAATATTTATTTATGAAAATAGGTTAGGATTACTCACATGTTATCAGTTAAACTTTCATATCATATGACATGATAAGGTTTTATTTAGCAAAGATATTTGTTTAATTTAAAAATATAGTACCAATAGCTCTATGATTACAGATACAGACATCAGATCAAGTGGATATGGGTTCGCAACCCACCATTTGGTTATTGTAAAACCTACCACAAACTTAGAACTTTGTATGAATGATTTCAAAATATATTTTCTTTATTTTAAATGTGTTAAAATATATCGTTTTGTTATATTTTTCTAGGTGGAGTCAGGTTATGGCACAAGTTCAGACAGCAGTTCTAATGGTGGAGGTCTAAGGAGACACGGCTCTGTTACATCTCTGCAATCAACTGGTTCACATGGTAAATCATTTTTATACTAATTTAATTAGAATACTAGCGGATGCCCGCGACTTTGACAGCGCAGAATTAATGAATGTAGCCTAAGTAGTCACACAGATGCTTCCAGTGAAAGTATCTTCAATATTGGTTAAGCAGTATCTGAGATTATCCGGAATAAACACAGACTTCTTGACATCATGTTCATAAAATATGATATTTTGTTTCTAAACAGATGCCCCAAATATATTAACTGTATAAATGTAATTTCCATATCCCAGTAGTCTGAAAATATTGCCATCCCACTTAAACTGTACAAAAAAAAATGAAACAAAGCTAAGAATATGTTAATATCACAAATAATCAGTTGTAAAAAAAGTTGCAATTAAAACTTATCAATGTTAATGAGTTAATTAGTATATTTAAACAGCCACGTTTTATTCTTACATTACTTTAATATTCTGAATATATTTAATTTATATAAAAAGTTATATCACAATCTCAAAGGCTAGCAACCCATCTACGGTTCCTCTGGTATTGCTGATGTCTATGGGCGTCGTTGAACACCTCAGTGTTCCCGCTGCTTGTTTGCCCCAAATTTAGATTAGTAATAATTGAATAATAAGGGAAAACATTTTCTCTCTGTGCATCCTCTCCTCCGTCGATTAAAGGTAGGCAACGCATATGCAATTGCGTATGTCTATGAGCAACGGTCACTTTGCTATGTTAGCGATTTCAGGTAGCCGCTCGCTCGTTTGCCACCTTATGATATAAAAAAAAAATATGACTTGACGAGAATATTATCATTGAATTTACTACTTTAATTTGAACACATGTTGTGTTATCGTTTCCTTTGTTATCTATATAGCAATATTAACTAAATATTTCATTTTTATATAATTGTTTGCGATTTTTATGTTTTCATGGAGATAAGTTTAGTCTTTACCTAATTTGTTGAAATGTTAAAAAAATGACTTTATAAGTTTTAGACATTATGAATTACAATCCTTTGCCATGAATGACGTTTACATTGCAAAGTCAAGTGTCAGAATGATTAGTGATGGGACATATATGTCGACATTTGAGTAAGGCTAGTGTTGTACTAGTACACCGGCAGTGTCGGATTTTCTTCCTAACATAAGCTATTTAAATTATATCAAATTCGACCTATTATTTACTTTTAATATAAACAAACGCTGTTATTTTTTTTTATTAAATACGTATAACATAAAATCCAATCTTTTATGTTCAATAAAAATAATAATTGTAACTTTTCAATTAAAAAAACAATTAAAAACAAATTAATGGTATTTTAATCTAAATTGCGTCCTTGTATTTCCGAAGCAATATCATCTCCACGTAATATTTAATAGAATAATAACAATTCATTGCCACGTTTCCACTGACAAAACATTCAAACATTATACAACATAATATTTTTTTCTTTGGATGTAGTATAGTTATTTTTTGAACTAGAAGCTTGAAACTAATTTTTATTTGATGTCATTTTGTATGTTGGAAGATATGCCTAAGTCATATGTTGCCTATCTATATTAACACCTATGTGTCTTATTTGTAAAATAATTAATAAAATATTAAAAAATTCTATACAAAGACACTAGTCCACACAGGTAAAATCGCGGGCACAACAAGTATAAAGATGTGATTAGGACAGCTTAGGGTAACTTTTTAATGTTAATCAATATTTGCAGGTCGTACGTCACGGCGTCTGACAGAGAAGATAGCCGAGTTGGAGACATACAGTGAGTTGTTGTCGAAGCAATCTGTGCAGTTGCAGCAGTACTTTGACAAGTGTGTCGCGTCTTCTCCTCAGATCAATGATGAGATTGTTGAAGCTATTGATGCTGTTAAACTTGTCGATGGTAAGGTTATATCAAACTTAATAAAAAAAAAACTTAATTAGTAGCCTATGTGATCTTCCAAACTATGTTCTACATCTATGACAAATTTCAGCAAGATACATTCAGCCATTATGTACTGCCTTTTAACAAACATCCATCTTTACATACAAATATTCGCATTTATTATATAATATTAGTAAGGTAAAAAGTAAAATTTTTACTTACAAGAAATTAACATAATACATGTTAATGTTTTCCTAGCTACTTGATAAATTAATCAAATAATCCTTGCTTTCTGACTTAAATCTCTGCAAAACATATCGTCATCCCAGTCATTATCTTTGTCATAGAGATAACAATATTTTAAACGAGATTTTCAGCCTCAGAAACCCACGTTTATTAGCAAGAAAAGATACCCAATATGTACGTATATGTAGGGGGCGTGGACATGCGCACGTATACGGGCGAAGTGCGTGCAACGGGCGCGTCGTTCCGCGCGACTTGCGGCGCCACGCTCGCAACGTTACAGCACTGCGTTGACTTACTACGTCGCAGAGAGAAACAGGCGCGTCAAGCTGAGGAGCTGTATATGTTAGTATATGATCCGCTTTAATCCTGGTCTCTTATAATCAGACATGTCAATTTTCACGCTTTATACATTGTCTAGCTGTCTCCCGCTACTCTGTTCGCGTGGATTTAAAAATAGTATCCTATGTTCTTTATGCTATGTTCTACATTTATGTCAAATTTCAGCAAGATCCATGCAGTCGTTCTGGAGATGCTTTTTAACAAACATCCATCTTTTTATCATTCAAGATAGAAGACAAAGTACTATACAGGAAAAATTTATGATTTTATAGGACTTTAATTTTTCCTGTCTTGCTACTATGAGTAGGACAACGTTCTTAGCAACTTTTTTTTATTTAATTTGAATAAAGAATACAAATTTGAAATCCAATACAATATTTCTTGGTAATGTTTAAATTACAGGTCAAAGAGCGCCTTTTCTTCCTTTATGGTAGTTGACCTGACCGTTTTGTTTTAGGGCTTTAAAGAATCAATTGACTGAAGCAAGATTGGCGTCGAAACCTGGTCCTGATCATGAGGTTAGTGAATTATATAATACTAGTTATCGTCAGCGACTCCGCGTTGGATAAATAAAATTACAGTAGTCTACTTCTTAGACCTACTGAATATGCATATAAAATTTCATAAAAACGGTCAAGATGACTTGGATGAGTATGGTAACTAACATTGTGATACGAGAATTTTGTCCTTCTTGCTTCTCCTAAATAGGTGTCTTTCAATTAATCCTAATTTTGTAATGATGATGGTTCGAAAGCAATTTAACGGAAAGGGAAGTAGAGAAAATAGAACATACGTTAAAATGCATTCATCATCATCAGCTCTCTATACGTCCCCACCGAGGAGCTTGAAGCCTACGCTAAGTTAAGGGTGATTAGGCCATAGTCAACCACGCTGACCAAGTGCGGGTTGGTTGACTTCACACATATCTTTGAATTTCTTCTCAGATATGTGCAGGTTGCATTACGATGTTTTTCATCACAGTAAGAACGTCGGATAAATGTACATATGTAAATCGGAAATCGAAAATAACGCATTGGTACATGGCGGGATTCAAACCCAGGACCTGCAGATTGCAAGTCAAGTGCTTGACTCCTAAGCCACCGACGCTCTACAAATGCATTACTCAGTTAATATATTTTTTTTTGAATAGTTAGGATCCATTTTGGGATAGAAATAGTATGACTTGCATAAATGTTTTGCCACACCTTAAAGTCGAATTCCGTAGTAGCGCTTATTTTAGTATTTTCTATGCGACCTAATGATGTGATAGCTATAAATAAAATGATGAATGTTTTTTTCATTTCACTATCTTGTCTATTTTTAGATACGTGATTTGTTGACGCCACAACGTAAGCAGTAAAGCTATTGTTGACGTGCAAATAGAGTTGTAAGGGGTTGTAAGTGGGGATGGAAGTTTATTTATTTATTTATTAACTCTTAATGCTATTCATCGCTACAAGCGATCTCTTCCAGGCAACCCAGTGGGACAGGAGAGAATAATATAGATAGAGGGGTATATAACATATAAATATCAGGATATGTCACGAATAAATAAATAGGAGCAAGAATTAATTATAATATATATACTAGTTACATATAGATATACTAAACAGATAAAGCAACATACATATATAATATACATGAATACACGAACCTATGAATAGAAATATATATATTCTAGGAAAAGAAAAAAATAAACTTAGCGAAAGGCTTTATTTAGAAGATGGCGATGCAACTGTGATTTGAAGAAGACAGTGATTTATATGAAGGTATCGTCAGTTTTATAATTAGAATGTTGAAAATTATCTTTTAGGGTGTTAGTATTTCACGCGAAGTCGCGGGCACGACTAGTATATATACACCCAAGTTATCAATATTGGAATCTTATTCTATAAGTAGATTTGAGTTATACGGAAACTGCTACAACGTACAGTTTCAATACTTTATCACATCACTGAAATAATATCACAAGAATTTCCTTAGAGTTATGCCACAGATAAAAATAAAACAATCTTCTAAAGATTAGATACATCTTTTTTAATTATTGGGCGAATTTGACTCTTTAAAAAATCAATTCGTCACCAAAGCTACTCACGTTTCAAGATAATTTCACCACCAAAACAAATGAACATAGAAATAAGTCTCATTTTTCAAAAAGTGGTGACGATATTATCCGCTGGTTCATGAGGCCAAAGTCTCCATGTCCACATATCGTTATCCCTGTCATTATCTTTGACAAAACAGAGACAATAATATCTTTTAAACGGAGATATCGGTCTCAGAAACCCACGGTTAGTAATAAAAGTGTTACGGCTAACGTAAGGTTAAGGTAACCCATATAATGTTTAACATAAACAGAAGTATACCGTACTGTGTACAACACAGGCCGGGGTGGTTTCACCTCAGCAGACTAAAGGCGGCCGTGTCGGAGCACGGACGTGTCGCGCGTTATACTTTGTTCTCTGTTTATGTTTCATTATCAATACTCTACAGTTGTTTCCTTTACAATCTCTGGTTTACTTGATTTATTTTCGTAACTTTATCTGTGTTAGTGACCTTCTAGTGATGTTCCTCGGTCGTGTATAATATATTTTTTTAATTTTAACTTGTTTGTTACCTGAAACAGAATGAAATTTAACTTGTTTAAGAAAAGTCTGCGTGAGGTTAGTTGTGTTTATTTGTTTTTTAATATTACGTTTGTTTAATGCAACTTTTTTTGTGTACACATTTTACTGAGTGCCAATCAGGGTTTGAACTTCGTTGTTTTTTGCACTGGTAATTAAAATTATGTATAAAAATTTCTACTTTTACGTGAAACTCTGTATCAATATAATAAATAGTTCGATTTTAAAAGTACTTTACAGATTTTTTTTATATTAGAAAGCAACAATGTTGACTATCGTAATTTTAATTACCTACATATTTACTGTCACAGTATTGTTTTTAAACTATGCGAGTACTTATCAGCGTTTTTTTTAAATATGTTTTGTAAGTTTACTAAACAATTTTTTAGCATTTTTGATAACGCATAACCGGTTCGGAATTTATTTCGAATGTAAAATAAATGTAATATTATAAATGCGAATGTTTAGATGGATGGATGGATGTTTGTTTGTTTGAATATATCTACGGAATGGCTGCATGGTTCTAGCTGTAATTTAACATAGATGTAGAACATATTCTGAACAACACAGGCTACTAATTAAGAATTTTTTAATTCCGCCCGGACGGAATCGCGGCCGATAGCTAGTTTTGTTTTGATATTTTGATTTTATGATCGATCAGATGATATCACATGTTTATTAGTCTATCTTTTGTTTTGTGTTTATATACTTTGTTGTTCTCTCAACATAATATTTGAATGACGTATTCGAACCCCCGACTTTATATTTCGCTATACAAAAGTCCCGGCTATTGACACTTAAAGGGAAGGCATTTGGCTCTTAAACATTGTGTTAGTTATCGCAAATCAGATGCCTAAAAGGTAACCATAGCTTGGTCCATTACAATGGTGAAAGGTCTAATTGTAAAACTATATTTGTATGGAACTAAATTGGATAAATGTTAATTAAAAGTAAAGGTTTTTAAAATTTCATTTTCAACGTAAATCAATTATAACCGTGAAAATTGTTAATTGGAAATATTTCATGCTGCTGTATTTAAACATCTAACTAATTTTGAACTACGAATGTACTAGGTTTACATGAGTCAAATCGGATCGGTGGCTCAGGGGTCAAGCACTTGACTTGCAATCTGCAGGTCCTGGGTTCGAATCCCGCCATGTATCAATGTGTTTTTCGATTTCCGATTTACATACGTACATTTATCCAACTTTCTTACGGTGAAGGAAAACATCGTGATGCAACCTGCACATATCTAAGAAGAAATTCAAAGATATGTGTGAAGTCAACCAACCTGCACTGGGCCAGCGTGGTTGACTATGGCCTAATCACCCATAACTTTGGGTAGGCTCCGAATTTCTCGGTGGGGACGTATAGTGAGCTGATGATGAAATGATGATGAAATGAAGTCGGATCTGTGAATATCTAGAAATTCGCCGCGAAAAGTGGAAATACATTTGATACCTCTTTAATAAGTTGAAGAATGTAACTGGTGCTATTGATTTCTTTTTTTTATTACATCGTGATAATGTGTAATAAAAAAAAAAGTCGGACTTTGAATATTTGTATTTTGTTTACTATAACTGAAGATTGTGTTTCATCCAATGCATGTACAAGGAAAATATACATACAGTCTCTTTTTCCCTTTGAAATCGGTTGATTTATACGAGATCATGTGATCAAATTACATTGTATAGTTTAATTTGCTTTGAAATTAGCCCGTGACGTAAGCTCGGTCAGCCTTGTTTGCAACCATTACCCGTCTAGCCTTGCGGAACGCGTTTGTTTATGGAAACATAAATACACCGAATGTGTTTGCGAATTTAGACATTCTAACCACATAGTATTACATGTAGACTTTGTAGGAACAAATTGAATTCTAGTGATTAATTCAGCAACAAGTTGATAAATAACTGGATATCATCATCAGCTCACTATCCTTCCCTATCGAGGGGGCGCGGAGCCTACCCTAAGTTAATTGGGCCATAGTCAACCACGCTGGCCAAATGCGGGTTGGTTGACTACACACATGTCTTTGATTTTATTCTCAGATATGTGCAGGTTGCATCACGATGTTTTCCTTCACCGTAAGAACGCCGAATAAATGTACATATGTAAATCGGAAATCGAAAAACACATTAGTACATGGCGGGATTCGAACCCAGGACCAGATTGCAAGTCAAGTGCTTGATTCCTGAGCCACCGACGCTCCTAACTGGATATATTTGAATTAATTTTAAGTTAAACTGGATTATTTGAGTCATGTATGTTCGGTGCATATATGATTAATGTAGTTTTCCAAGAAATCAGGCGATTTTGTGCATTACTAATATTGTTTACAAGATCACTTGTGAGTAACACTTATGTTAGATCATGTACAAAATCTTTAATACTTATCTACACTAATATAATAAAGGGGAAAAAATTTGATTGTTTGTTAATATTGAATAGACTCTGACACTATTTTACCGATTAGAAAAATTCTTTCACTGTTGGGAAGCTACACTATCTCCGAGGGGATATAGGCTATATTTATTACTAGACTTTTTTTAATTTGTATCGTAAACTTGGTATCAGTTTTTAAGGAAACTGCGCAAATGGCTGAAAATGAGACACAGTTAAAGTTGCTTAAATCTATTTTAAATTAATAAAAAAATCTTTATGAATTCGAGCAATGTGAGAGCACTAGTATGTTTTAATTATGTCATTGCCTCTGCCCTTGGGTCGTCAGGTTACATAAAGCAACGGTTGTTCACAAACATGGCATCTGGTTGTGGAATTCTGATGGCAGCCGGTTACTGCAGTGCCGCCTTTATATTCCATTTAATTTTAGTTTCAAGGTAACTTAAGCTGAGGACGGTTCAATATTTAAGTTTACTATACTTTATATCGTACTT